TTACATGTTTGGCCCAATCAACCCTCGGGTTGGAATACCAAACATATCAGATCCAATCAATCATGGGGTCTGGTCATCCCTAGGATGTAATACCTCTATGAACATAACTCGGGTATACTCATACTTGAGATCCAAGGATCTATCCTTGCGTCTCATCCACCATTCTCTGATTCATCACAACCGAGTGCAACTCCCCCATTTAGTATTATGCTTTACCAGAGGGCGAGAATAGTTGAAGATTATGGAGGTGTTCACTTTGCTCTAATGACCCATTAGGCGAGGTCATATGGTGTGCTGGAAAAAGGAGTCGGGAACATGCTCACTATGGTGCCTACACCTCCATTTAGCATTATGCTTTACCAGAGGGTGAGAATAGTTGAAGATTATGGAGGTGGTCACTTTGCAATTCCGGGTGATGATGCGGTTGTAACACCCGCGGAGCTAGGTCGACGTGTTAGACCAAGACAAGAAGATATACATGAATACCCACCGGTAATTCGAGCGGATGACGAGGTGCCGATGGATTGGTACAACATGGAAGTAAAGGGGTACCAAGATGATTTGGGTTATAGTTTGAACTATAGCCACATGACTCTTGCTCATATGACGAGTCATTTGCAAATATTACCAATGGATGGACCCGGGATCCCTCGTGTTAGGAATTGGGATGAGAGGATAAGCCATAGACAAAGCGGAGCCAGAGGAAGCGGAGTGGGAGAAGATGATGAAAAAGGAGATGAAGATTAGATATCTTTTTATTTTTATTTTTGTGGTTTGGTTTGATAAAATTTTTATTTGTTTTATTTGTTTGCTTTTGGTTGATGTTGAACATATAGTAATTAGGAACTATGTAGGATGTTTTATTTGTTTTTCTTTCCTATCACTTATGTTTGTTTTGATCTTTTCAGCTTGAGGGTAAGGAATGCATGCTAGAGAATGGAGTCAAGGCTAACCAAGAAAATTTGAGTCTAGATGAGAGAAATAGAAGTTATGAGACAAATAGAGTTCGAGTACGAGTCCGACGAATAGAACACTTAACAATGCCTTTTTATTAAAGGAAAATGAAGGGGAAGTGTTACTTGATATTACTCAAACACCCCGGAAACGGAAATGATGGCAAAATCTTTTTTTTTTTTTTTTGCATACAATGCTGACTCGTCGAGTCCATATACTCAACTCGGCGAGTCCAAGTTAAAAAACACGACTTTTCTGCCAAACACGCTACAACTCGACAAGTCCCTATATGAACTCGGTGAGTTGCTCAGTCTTCTACTTTCAAGCTCATGATTTAATAATGGAAATCGACTATACTTTTGAAGATCATTTCCTGAGAATTTCCAAGAGTTTTTGTTGCATATTTAGAGTTGTAAATCACACGAGATTGGATACGCAATGCATGGATGAGATGTTCCCATACCTAAAGTCAATTGAAGATGGAGCTTAACAAGAAGAAGATCGACATCAAAACTACTATCCCAGGGGAGTTTGTTCCAATTCCCTCTTTTTTTTTAATGTTTTCTTTATCATGCATAACATGCAATGGGGACATTGCATGAATTAAGTGTGGGGTAGGGGGGTTGGTTATATTAGTTAAATTAGAATCCTAATTTTTGGTATAATTTTAAAAAAATTGCATTAAAATTGTTAGGTTAATTTAGAAAACTATGGTAAAAGCAATTAGGATTCCATGCTAGTATTGTGTTTGATGATTCCTTGAGCACCTAAATGTTTAGTTGAGCCTATATACGTTATAATGAATTTTTGGCCCCCTTTATTCTAGTGAAATCATAGGACAAAAACACAACCTCGCTTAGTTTGAGGGATACAACATGTTTAGCATCGTGTACTTGAAATGTATCCAGGAAGACTAATACCTTTAACCAATAAAGGTTGAAGTTGAGCACCCTTGCTTAAGCATGTAGGTATTGAGTGAAAAAAAGTGATATACATGTGAAAAAAAGAGAGAATTACAAGAAAAAAGTTGTAAGAATTTTGGAGCAATCAAAGTATGAAAATTGAAGATCAAAATTCTGAAGAATTCAAAAATTTGAAGATACCAAAAATCAAACAAAAAGGTGGTGAATTCAAGAAATCAAATATCAAATGTTCAAGAAAGTAAAGAATTCAAAGAGCTCCATTATGTATCAAAAGTGTAATTTTTTCTAGATTATGTATGCTTGGGTTGCTTGACCAAAAATACCTTGAGGTTAAGAAAGTTTTTTGCGGATGGATGTCGACAACCTCTTCACCATTTTTTCTAGATTATGTATGCCATATGCAGAACCTAAAGTGTCGGCAACGCTAACCATTTGATCAGTTTAGGCTTCCACCGGAGATCGATGTCGACAACCTCTTCACCATTGATACTTGTATATCCATTTTCAATGGTTTAGGGATCCACCAGAGACCGATGCCAAAAACAAATGCACCGCTGGAGACCTAGATTCGTCGGTGACCTCACCCATCTACGTTGCCGCCACCAGAGCAAACAATCTGCCATCATACCCAGTTGCAGACTCCAATTTAATGTTTGTGTTGTTCAGATCCACGGGTGCTAACCCCGCCGCCACCGCCATGAGCCTCTTCTCTCTCACCCATACACTCTACCACCAACTCCCACATCACTACTAGAAAATAGGGGGTTTTCCTAAGGAAAATAGCTATGAAAAATTACTGTAGCTAATTAGCTACGAAATCGCTATGGATCAGCTACGGAAATGGGACGCCCTAATTTAGAAAGGGAATAGCTAGCGACGGACGAAAATAGCTACAAAACAGCTACGAAATAGCGACGAATTTATAATTTCCATTATTATTATTATTATTATTATTTTGCATTATTCGACTCTTAAATTTTTTTTTTGGATCATTTTTTCTTACATATTTAAGACATGAACAATTAAAAATCATACTAATAATACTATTAATAATAATATCTATAAATATCATAATAATATATAATAATTGTAACAAATGTGTTTAACACACAAACAAACGATTAAACAAAAAAAAAACTACGTTTAACATATCAATAAGGTTAAATGTTATATGTTTAATTTATAAATAATAAAAAATGATTAATAATAAAGGGAAATATGTATATTTGTATGTGTATGTATGTATTTATGTATGTATGTATGTGTATGTACGTTAATGTGGGTGCGTATGTAAATGTATGTGTGTATTTGAATGTGTATGTGTATGTTAATGTTTATCTATGTGTGTATCTGTCTACATGTATTCATATAAAAAATCGCAAATATTAATAAGTATTACAATATTTAAACATTAAATGAGTAAAAGCTCTCGTAGGTGCACACGACTTTATGAACGATGTTAATAGGTATAAGTTGATGAATATATAGATAATCATTCATAATTATCTTGTACATGATTATCGATATTTTCACCAATTTATAGCTATTAATATCATTCATAAAGTCGTGTGCGCCTTCGGGATCAAGTAATCGTTTCACAATTTAACAACGTAATGACTATACTTTTCACCAACTTGTGATGGGTTTATGTTTGTATATGTATATTTATATACATGAATGAGTTGTGGTATATATGTACGTGTATATGTGTATGTATACGTGTTTGTGAGTATTTATATGTGAATGTAGATCATAAGCATTATAGTATTAAGTCATTAAACGAGTAATGAATCCCGTATGTGCACACGACTTTATGAATGATAATAGCTATAAGTTGTTGAAAATATAGATCATCATGTATAATAGAGGTTTGAAAAAAGGAAGCAGAAAAAAGGACGTTTGGTGCCCAAAAAATAGAAAATAAGAAAAATCCATAGCTAATTAGCTACAGAATTCTAACAGATAGCACATTCCGTAGCTAATCCGTAGGTAATTAGCTACGGATTAGCTACGGAATATCCGTAAGAATTCTGTAGCTAATTAGCTACGGAGTTTTCTTATTTTCGATTTTTCGGACACAAAACAACGTTTTTTTCACACCTCTGTTATACACGATTATCTACATTTTCGCCAACTTATAGTTATTAATATCACTTATAAAGTCATGTACACATACAAGATCTATTACTCGTTTAATGGTTTAAATAATGCTTATTAATACACTCACATATAAATACTCACAAACACGTATACATACACATGTACACGTGCACATATACCACAACTCCTTCATCTACATATAAATACATATACAAACATAAACTCATCACAAGTTGATGAAAAATATAGGCATTGCAATGTTAAAACTGTGAAACGAGTACTTGATTTCGAAGGTGCACACGACTTTATGAATGATATTAATAGCTATATGTTGGTTAAAATATAGATCATCATGTATAATAGATGTGTGAAAAAAAATGAAGCGAAAAAATCGACTTTTGGTGCCCGAAAAATCAAAAATAAGAAAAATTCGTAGCTAATTAGCTACAGATTTTTGTTATTTCTATTTTTCCGGCACCAAACGTCGTTTTTTCCACTTCGTTTTTTTCACACCTCTATTATACATGATTATCTATATTTTCACAAACTTATAGCTATTAATATCATTCATAAAGTCGTGTGCACATACAAGATCTATTACTCGTTTAATGGTTTAACACTATAATGTTTATGATCTACATTCACATATAAATACTCACAAACACGTATACATACACACATACACATATACATACACACATACACGTACACATATACCACAACTCATTCATATACGATATACACGCACATGACGGAGAAGAGGGCCGTCGATGAACGGGATTTGTGGTCACCTTCAGTGGGGTTTTTTTTTTCTGTTCGCCGAGTGTTTTTTTTTTTTTTTTATCCCAGCGTATTCAATCCCATCAAAAGATGATGGAGGGATTTTAATTATAACAAATAGCTACTGATTTGCTATGGCCCAACTTCAATCTCTACTACGGATTAGTTACGGACGGGCAACAATAGCTATTTGTTTTAATTAAAATCCGTCCCTCATCTTTTGCTGGGATTGAATACGTTGGGATGAACAAAAAGAAAAAAAAAAACACACTCGGAGAACAGAAAAAAAAACCCACTGAAGGTGACCACAACTCTCGTTCATCGCAGCCCTCTTCTCCGACGACGTTGTCGTCACCACCCGTAGCCGCCCGACTCGCCTTCTTCCCCGGCGCATCTTCCCTCCTGTCTCTTAGCCTCTTTACTCGATTCTTCCCCAAAAAGGTAAAACACTAGGTTATTTATTATTATTATTATTATTATTATTATTATTATTATTATTATTATTATTAAATTACTTAATGTATACAATTTAGATGCTTTATTCATTGATAATGTTGATTTGTTTTGTTGAATGTGAGGTTTTAGATTATATTTTAGGCCGAATTTAAGGTTTTAGGTTAAATTTTGGTTGAATTTGATAAAATGTTTGGTTAATTTCTTATACTCATTTGTTTTTAGTTTGTATTTTAAATTTACTTTTTATTTTTTACAGACCATGTACAGGTGGCATTCACAAGGGAATACTAACATATTTGATGCTTTCAAGTGTGTTCTCAAGGATAGATACATGGATCGGATGAAGCATATCAGGATTAAATCTGAGGACATGACGATAAATGAAGGGAAACCCGTCCCCCCAAGTCATAGTACCTACTTCGAAGGATGCATAACTACCGCCAAAGCGCGTACCGGAGAATGTGTAATGTAATGGATATATTACATTATTATCTATTTTGTTGAGTTTTAATTTCCTATTGCATTAGTATACTTATATATTTTTTCTTTTTCACAACATTGGTCCACAGATAAGTGGAGAAAGAATTCAAAAATTGCTCAGCAGAACTGCAAAGCCGCAAATGCTAATGGTTTTACAGCAAGACACATCGCGGGTAGTATAGGATTTGATGAGCACTGTAAACACTTAGTAAGTATCATAATTATAAATTTATCTTATATTTTTTTAACACTAAATACATCAGTTATACTTTGTATTTTATGTAGGAAAAGATGATGGATAAACCACCTACACAATTTGATGTTTTCATAAAGACACATGGCACAACTGAGTCGAAAAAAAAAATCTTTTGTGGGAGATCATGAAAATCTCGAATATTGCTTACAAACTGCAAAAGAAGCACAAGTAACTTATCTTTTAACATTTATGTATATTGATTGTCTTAGTATTTTTGTATATGATAATGATATTGTTTTGGTAATTTGTAGGAGGCATATCTACAAGGGTTGGTCAAAAAATACGGAGAAGACCCTTCGAACCATAAAGATGATACAGGGGTATGGGAGGAAACCCAAATTAAGAGAAAAGGAAAGAAGAAGGGTGATATCTATGGCATAGGAGCATCATATATACATTTTCTGGTTTCTGGGAGTCCATCTTCCGAATCCACCCAATCAGATAGTACACAACAAGAGGTATGTTGTTATGGTTTAAAAGTTAAGTAGTATGTTGATAATATTGATTGAGTTGATAATAAAAAAATACATTGCTATTATGGTTAAAAGTTAGGTAGTTTGTTGAAATATTTAATAAATTGATAATAAACAAAAGTATGTTGCTATTATGGTTAAAAGTTGGGTAGTTTGTTGATAATATTGATTAAATTGGTAATAAACAAAAGTACGTTGCTATTATGGTTAAAAGTTAGGTAGTTTGTTGATAATATTGATTAAGTTGATGATAAACAAAAGTATGTTGCTATTATGGTTAAAAGTTAGGTAGTTTGTTGATAATATTGATTAAATTGATAATAAACAAAAGTACGTTGCTATTATGGTTAAACGTTAGGTAGTTTGTTGATAATATTGATTTAATTGATAATAAACATAAGTACGTTGTTATTATTGTTAAAATTTAAGCATATTGCTATAAGTATTATAAAAAAACTGCATTGTTATAATAAACTAAAGTACATTGCTAATATTGTTTAACTACTGAATTGTGTTTCCATTTTTTTAGGTTGATAGGTTGCATGCACAAGTTTCTACCATGGAACAACAACAACAACAAATGAAAGAACAAATGGAAATGTATATGAGGATGATGAATATGTCTGGAAATCAACCCCGTGCTCCCCCCAATAATCCACATGAGGACAATTGATAAGTATTTGGAACAATTAAATTTGTAAACATTTGGTATTGTTTGTTTTGTTAATTAGTGCTTACTTTTGTATGATATTTTAGACAAAGTAATGGAATGTGTCAAACTTGGTATTAGGGACGTTTTTTGGTGTATTTTATATGGTATTTGGGTCAAATGTGAATTGAATGTGGTATTTGAGAAAAAATTGGAAAATTTTAAATTTTAATTTTTTTTTATAAATAAAACGAAGTTAGCTACGGATTTCCGTAGCTATTTAGATCCGTAACTATTTGGATCCGTAGCTATTTCGTTCCGTAGCTATTCCGTAGGAAATCCGTAGCCATCTTTTTCCTGTAGCTATTTTGTAGCTATGGTGGCTACGGAAAATTCCGTAGCTATTCCGTAGCGATTCTGTAGCTAATCTGTGACTATAATTTAGCTACGAGCCATTATGCTACAGACATTTTTCCGTAGCTATCCGCTTATATCTACGGAATAGCTACGGATTGTGTTGTAGCTATTACACAAATTTTCTAGTAGTGCATCATCGTCATGAAATTGATTTCTTTTATCATTTCTCTTTCTGAAATCTTGATTGAAAAATAGATCATATTATTTCCAGGTTTACGGTATAAAAAATTGATTTAAATGTTATTATGTTATAGATTTGGATGTTAGTATGTTATTTCTGGATGGTTACTGAAATGGTTTTCATCGATGAGAGAAATAGGAGGAACATATGGTGGGGTTAACTGGTTATGGTGGGTCCATCTTTGGCTAGGTCTGTTTGGTGGTGACTTCAAAATAACGAAGGTGCCTGCTTCAAATCAGAGATAGTGGTGTCTTGTGGTATTTCTATGGTGTTATGGTCTCCCCAAATCTGATAGTGGGCAGAAAGAAAAAGGAGGGAGAGATCTTGGATTTGTGTTGTAAGTTATGGTTAGAGGTATGGGTGATTGTATTCCTACGGTGATAGCATATCTCGATTGTGGTGGTGTTGCAGGTTATGAATTTATTTTCCGGTAGCCGGTGGCGGATGGTGAAGGTGGTCATCGGTGGTTGGTGACCGATGGTAGGAGTGGGAGTGGGAGTAAGATTGCAAGTGGGTCCTATTTGTCAATAAATCAATTAATTAATTTTCTTTAATTAAATAAAATAAAAATAAAAACTAAAAAATAAAACGATAAGGTTATTATAGTCATTTCCAATAAGGTAGGGACTGACACCGAAACAAAATCAAAACCTATGGAAGGTCCGAATGCAAAATAAAAGATAGGGACCAAACACGAAATTTTGGTAAACCACATGAACGATTTCAGTAATTTAATCTTTATCACAGGAACGATTTCAGTAATTTAATCTTTAATAAAATACAAAAAAAATGACCATAAAGAGTTGATCTTATATGTAACATAATGCAAAGAAATAACATACACACATTGCCTTTATTTATGGATAAAAAATTTAAGTGCTAAAACATAAAGTATGTTATTATCAATAACAAAATGCAAGTACATTGTTATATATGATTGATAAAAAAAAAAAACATAAGCAGTTTTAGGAGAAGAAAACAAAGAACTGGCAACCTTTAGTTGTATTGTCATTCATTATTAATTGGATGTTCATGGGGCTTCCTTGATTTTAAAGTCTTAGGTTATGACATTTTATTCAAAAACTGGCTCATCTTCCCAAAGAAGTTCCATTTTTTTGTGGAACTAGTGGTTAAGGAGGTGGGCAACTTTCAAGTATTTGTCTTTGCTACTAGCAGCCCATGGGATAAAATTAGAAAAAAACTATTAGAAGGACACGGTTTATGATTCCACTGATGTTGAAGATGATTGAAAATTTGAGGTGATACATGATGAAAAGAGTTCTATATAGCAATATATGAGATTACCCCAAGACAGTAATATGTAAGATGCTACATGTCCATTACATCATAATGTGTATATATACCATACATAAGGATCGTTCCAAAAGTAAATATGATTATGATTAAGAAGTTTAAGCTTCACTTTCTCTTTGTTTCTTGCAAGAAAAGATGGTTTACTTTGCAAGCAGTCCCCATGTGAAGCAACTGAAGGCTTTCGACAAACGTATCCATATCGAATAAAAAAGAATCATCATTAAAGTTCACTAGACTTGATCTCGACCTTTTCTTAGGATTATAAACTTGGAGCCCTTGGAAGTAAGTTTCTAGCAACAAATCACCATTGTTGGTCAGTCCCAAAACTGTCTTTACCCCTGCTTGAATTTGATTTGTTTTCGATTTAAAAATCACAGACCAAGAAGCATCTGCATCTCTCCTCACCCAAATCCAACTGTCATCGAAAAGCTTTTCCATAGAAATCACAGCTACAGAACCTTGGATGGTTGTTACTTGGTGGATTGGCCAACTGGGTTTTGGCAAAGCAATCATGCCAAAAACATGACTGCTCAAATCGAATGTCATTATATTATAACAAAGTTGTCTTTTTTCTGAATTAGGCAAAGAATGTCCCACCACCCAATGCAATACACCGTTGAGATAACTCGTCGTTGATTTCACGTCATCATACAAAGGCATACGCGAAGCAATCGTATGCCAAGCACCGGTCTTGATGGTGTAAACGAATGAACTTTCTCCATTTCCATTTCCATATGCAGGAATACTCACAACCTTGTGATCATCAGTCATTGGGTCGAATCCAAGCCCGATCGCCATCTCACCAGAGCACCTCCGAAGAGGACAATAAGGCAGGGTTAGTTGGCGCATGATTGAAGGGTTCCATAGACTAATTACACCATTTTCATACAGTAGAAGAATTCCATTACATGAACCAACAATATTGACATTTCTTCTTGGAAACTTGACTGGTGTTATGTCTTTGTATCCACACAATGGCAATTGGTCTTCCGCATGTAACGTATAAAAGGAGGCAACACCATATTCTTTTTTGTGTTCACGTCTAATTACGTGTGTGAGGAGGATCCTTTGTGGGGATCGAGAAGTGTGCATGCGGATGAAACCGGGGCTATCGATACAAGAACATATTGATTTGGAGGCGGATCTAAACCGGAGGAGGGATTTCGGTGGTAGTCTTGTCAAGATTTCAACCATCAACTAACTCTTCACATAAATTATGTGACATTCTTCTGTAATTCTGTGTTTTCCAGCAAGATAGAAATTAGTAGTAGTATGATATAATCAAAACCATTGGTTTTCAAGATTTCAAAAAGTATTTTTGTTTAATCAAATCATACCTTCTTTTTGAAGGAAATCTACAAAATATTTCATAACGATTACTAAAGCACAATGACAAATCCATGATTCAAACTAACATGTATCAAACTTAGGGTATGTTTGGGTTAGCTTTTTTATGTCAAAGGTGATTTTTAAGAAAAGTGCTTATTCAAGTGTTTGGAAGCGAAAAACTGCTTTTTCAAGAGTAAAATAGTTAAAAAAAAAGCTAAAAAGCTAGGATTTTCTAGCTTTTTGAAAGTTTTACTTTTTCCTATCCAAAAAGCTATTTTAAAAAACATTTTTCAAATATACAAACACTTTTTTAACTTATTAGCTTTTTAAAAAGCTAATAAGCTTTTTTTAAAAGCTATCCCAAACACCCACTTAAACTTATCAAAAAAGTTTATTATCGGGTCAAGATGTGATCAATAATACAAAAAAAAATCAAACATAAATTATAAAAGTAGTAGCAATGACCTACAACTGAGGGACAATTGAGGTTAGATTTCATATATTCAATCTGGCTAAGACTGCATGCTATTAAGTAGCTAGAGAGGTGAACCAACCTCCATATTTATTTGCTATCTTACGTCTTTTACTTATTTCTTATTAGTTTAGATGTGTTCTTTTTTACAAATTTAACTCTTCTCCTTTTTACTGATTTCTGCTTGCATTTTTCTTAATCTATCTATCTTTTCAGATTTGTGCTTTTTTTTTTCTTCTGGTTTATTGATTTAACCTAAAACAACATGTGTCCAAGGCCATAAACAAAGGGTATCCATGACAAAATATCATATAATCTCTAAATATATTCTCAAAGCAAGGTGCTAATTAACATTTACGTAAATTCCTCTTTGCTAGAGCAATAGTAGTATTCACTAGATAAGCATAAAACTTCAAATTGAACTGTGTTGCCTTTGCCATGACAGTAGAAAGAAAATTATATTCCATTACTAATTGTTAAATTCAAAGTGGATTTATATTTCTCATCCAGATTCCAGAACTTGTACTTTAGTGATGCATGTTGATCAAATTTTATTTAAAATCAATACAAATCTTACTTTTACTATGTGGTTTTGTATAAACACTCTGATTTGATTCCGACCTTAGTCAGTTTACATACCCTATTTAATTATAAAGCTATTTAAAGAGAAAATATCGACTTTGATTATCGATGTTGGCTACAACATGCAAAATCGCAAGTTAACTACACAATACTAATAAAGTTATTATCTTTTTCGTTGTATTTTTCAACTTGTAACTAAAGATCCTAATTAGCAATACTAATTTAGTATCCCATTTTCACATACGGACATATCTCGTATATATAACTCAGAAAAATTATCTCTTTAAAAGCCTAAGCAAATTATTATCCTCACAAATTTAATGAACCAAGAAAATCAAACAGAGTATAAAAAATACTTACCGGAAAAGAGGAACAGTGAATTCGACTGCGATGAAGAAGGTTGTATTGATTAAGATCCCGTCGCTTACATGAATATGTCGGTCGGTGCAAGGCTTTATAGGGCTTATATGCGCCACAATTAACACAGGTTTCACTAAATGGGCTGACCCGTTATTTGCTTAAATTGGAAAACCTTATTATTAAACAACCAAAAAAAGAGAGAATTCATCAAATGACCAAAGGAGGGATTGTTTGTAGCACATGACCATGACCATGAAAAACACAATTTTATTAAATGATCACTACTTTTAAAGAGAGGGGCTCTACAGAAGTCCTTACGCTATGAGGAATGGGAAAAATCACTGAGGAAATAAGGTGGCAAGGTAAATTTCGTAATATCACCAACCATTTCCGTAGAAGAGTAATCATTCCTTAGAAGCGTACATCATTCTGCAGAGACCTGCTCTGTGGAAATGTCAGAAAAAATTAATGCTTTCAGCTACCATTTCCTCATAGGTGTACATACGTTCTGCAAAGGCGTACTCATTTCTGCATACCCTTCTCTGCGGAACTATGTAAAAGCACTTTTTTTGTTTTTTTCCTCATGTGTCTGATTCCTCAGAGTGTAAAGACTTCCGCAGAGCCTCTCTCTGCTAAAGTCGTGGTCGTTTAATAAAATTGTGTTTTTCATGATCATTTTGGTTATTTGAGGAATTTTCTCCCCGAAAAATCAATGCCTAGCAAGGCACTAGGCAGGGGAAAAACAATAAGACAACAATTTACAACATCTCAAATAAGAAAAAGGAGAGCATGACCAAGTCACACAATTACAATTTCCATATTTTCCCCCTATGTTTAAACCATGTACACCAACTCAATTACATCATCTACAATTTTAGCAGGGGAAGAAGACATCTTGTACCTTTTCTTCCATATAAGCCATAGGAACCCGTAATGGTGAGATATAATTTCTTTTTCTTCGGACAATTGCCCTACAAAGCAGGCGAAGTTGATAAGCTCTTCTACCTTAGAGGCTGAAGGAAGGGGAATGTTACAGCATTTAAAGATCCATATCAGCACCTCTTTAGCAAACGGGCAAGATACTAAGATGTGATCATCAGTCTCACTTTCAACTTTGCACATAGGACAACAAGAAGAGCCAATATTAACTCCCTTGTTTTTAAGAGCCTCTCCTGTGGGGATACGCCCTCCAAACGGCAAGCTGATCAAAGAAAACATTATCATATTATCAAAACCGGCCTTACAATGCTCTTCAATGCTAGTGCACGGGCTGACACCTTCATCTCCACCACTTACATTATCAACTGTCTTCCATCAAAAATTCTTGCACAAAAGTCCCCATTCGAGATGTTTCACTCACCACCAAATTATGATGTTTTTAGGGTTTTTGGTTGTTGGGATTTTCCATATTTACACAACTATTCGGCTAACAAATTAGCTCCTTGCAACAGTTCTTGTATTTTCATCGGATCTAGCCCCCATTACAAGGGTTATCGTTGTTTGGATCCCACCTCCAGTCGATGAAAACACCTTCCCGTTTAAAGGATTTTCGCCACATGTTGATCAAGGAAAGTTACTGTTCATAGATTTTCAAGAACCAATTGTGACTCCACCATCACCTTCATTACCAGCTCCTCAAAGCCACAATTTGGAGCCAGCTCCGTTGTGCTCCCTTTGACCGAATAGGAACTTTTCTATAGCTGGTCAACACCTTACGTCCTCTCCGTCTATACCTGCATCGCATCAGGTCCCTCACTGTCACCTACTGCCTCGCTAGAGCCTCTTGCCGCCACTCCAGTTGTTACCTCAGCCTCCACTCATCCTATCATAACCCGGTCTTCTGTAAGAATTTTTAAACCAAGACATCTTGTACACCTCGCATATATACTTGGAGCATGCACTCTCTTTGCTACAAAAGAACCCCAATGGTTCAAATCTGCAGTCACTATGGAAGAAGAAATTGTTGTGAATAACAAACTAATAGACGCGCAAGGAAACCGACAAATAATATTGAGAATTATATGTAGATTAGTTGCGAATAATAGATCCAATTATTATTATTATATTTACCGAGTTTCGTCCAGAAACTAGATCTATCCTTCTCGATTAGATCCGATTATAAGAAAGGTAGAAGATGACTGTCCTGTTATTGGACGAATTAAACACAAGACAGAAAAGTAAAACGGACCTGTTGATTGTTGATCTTGATCTTGAAACAACTGCACGGATCAAACTCCTGTCCTTAAAGGTTTTTACTTCGCTTATACTGGTTGTAAGCAACAGAGTAAAAACCCCAGGATTTAATGCAGCTTTATCGATAGTCCAACAGCACTGGAAATCGATAAATACAAAAACCGACTACTTGGAAACTAGGAAAAAACACAGAGAGAGGGAGGAAGCTTTCAGATTTCGAGAGTATCCATATGGCTCCTAGGGAGCTGTATTTATAGGTATCGTAACCCTAGAAGGCATCAAACGGGCCCCTATAGGTCGACCCCAGAAACCCTAGGGCGACAGCTTGCTCTCCAAGCAATCCGTTTCCTGATCCTTCTAGAATACCCTGACTTGGCCTCCACGAAATCAACGACGGTCAACCATTTGACCGAATCGGTCAAAAATAAAAGCTCCTTAGCTCCCAGCAACCGATGCAAAGTGCGCCTAAATCGTGCACTCGCGGTGTCGGCTAGTGCTAGGCTAGGCTAGGCGTGCACGTGGGCTTGGCCCATTCCTTTGATCCACTAAAGCCTTTGAAGGTTTACCAAGGGAATAGACTTATAAATCCACAAAAGTTTCTTCCCCCCACCAATGTGGGATACAAAGGAAATTGCCAACTTGCAATTCCTTGATATATAAAGTTCCAACAGAAATGAGTGCTCTTAGATCCAACAACATTTGGGATCTCATTCCTGACCTACATGGTTCAAATATTGTGGGTTCCAAGGAGCATCTCAATCTGCATGTGTCCTCACCCAAATCCAATTGTCAATGGAAACCCTAGAAATCACAGCTGGAGAACCTTTGATGGTTGTTACTTGGTGGATTGGCCAACTGGGTTTTGGCAAAGCAATCATGTAAAAAACATAAGTGCTCAAATCGTATGTCTTTCTATATAACATGCCCTTGATTTCACTATAGAATAAGGGCCCCAAACTCTTGTCTTCATGGCCTAAACAAATGTATTTTCTACAATTCCTCCAAATATAGGTATACTCACATTCTTGTTATCATCAGTGATTGGGTCGAAACCAAGCCCCAACCCTAGCCCATAAATGCATCTTTGAGGGCACTGTGGCAGGGAAATTAGTTGGTGCATAGACTAATATCACCATTTTCACAATTAAGCAGACAGAGAATTCCATTACATGAACCAACAATATTGACATTTCTGAGTGGAAACTTGACTACTGTTATACCAATGTATCAACACAACTGCAATTGATCTTCTGCATGTAACGTCAAAGGGTGGTATAGTGATATCATTGTGTATATTTATGTTTAACTAGGTGTGTCAAGACGAGTCTTTGTGGGGATCGAGAAGTGAATGCGGATGAAATCGTGGCTATCATAAGTGCACATACAATAAGACTTTATATAGCTTTACTGAGACTTCTTTTTAAAATCCAATTGCATCAACTGATCATTAATTTTGCTTATGTGCTTTAGGTAACATGTTTGATGCATGATGATTTAGGTTTATGGTCTTTACTAATGTGGAGAATTGTTTGACTGGAAGCCAATAACTTGATATACATATATTGTTTTCTAGTTAAGTAGTTGCTTAAAAGGAATGAATTTGTTGATTTGTTTCGGATGAAAATACCACAGGCGAAGGCATATTTCTACCCTTCGGGATATCCCCTAGTTTTATTCAAAAGCTGACTCAAATTGTCCTTTATTGTATCAGTGTTTGCTGATGGGATAAAATTAAAAGAAACTCATGGATGAAATTCGCAGATTAGGTTATGTAACCAAGAGGCTGGGATCGATAGTGCTTGCTATTTGTCCTTATCTTTATTTTCTATTTCGTTAAAGAAAAAAACATGGTTGTAGAAATCGGGATTAATCGATTGACGTTCTCCAACCGTCGAGAATTAGGTCATTAATCAGAAATTTAGGATTAATCAGGTTTAGTGGGATTAATCGGTCAACAAAAGTCAAAATAATCGAAAAAAGTAAAAAAAAAAAAAAAAAAAGTCAATTTTTTAAAAAAAAAAAATTCAAAAAAACCAACTTTCTTTTTTTACTCCAAAATTTTCAAATTTTCAAATATTATACTATAATATTCATATTTTCGTATTTCCAAATTACAATTTTTCTTATTTTCTAATTATGAAGTACTTGTTTTTCTTAAGATATATTAATATTTAATTAATTTTAATATTTTATTAATAATCTATGGTCCCCGATTAGTCCTCGATTAATCCCCACCAAGACCGATTAATCCATTAACACTAGTCGACCGTCGAGCTACCGTCAAACGATTTTTACAACCTTGAAAAAAAATGCAATTTGTTTATGTTTTTTACTATGTTATGTTTTCCTAGTTTTATTTATAGAGAAAATTGCAAATTTAGCCAAATATATTAATTGTTTTGTAGAAAATAGTTAAAAAAACCCAAATTACAAAAATAACCCTTAAAATCACAGATGGACTAAGTCCATCTGTGATTTCGCATTTCCATGTGCGAACGTACAAGTGCCTATAACACATTTGTGCTTTAGGCACTTGTACGTTCGCACATGGAACAGTCCATCTGTGAATTTGTACATTCCATCTGTGATTTCGTAGCTATTTTGTATAAAAGTTTTTTTCCCTTCATTTTTCACTATCTTTTTTAGAGAAACTTTTTCTTTCCACCTCCCATCAGTTACAACGCAAACAAAATATTCATTCATTTTTTTAGAGAGGTTTTAAACAAATTTTCTAAGGAAATAACACAAAAATAATAATTTTTTGAAAAATTTTATATATAATAAGGTTGTTTCGTAGTTAAACCCTATCAATTTTGTAGTCAAAATATTAAAAAAAAATTTTAAAAAACAAAAAACACACAAAATCGTAGGTGAATAGAGAGGAAATTGTAAATGGACATAGTCCATCTGCGATTTTAGGCTGGAAAGGGATTATATATACAACGAAAAAAACCCACCTACAAACATACAAGTGGCTAAAACACGTTTGTGCTTTAGTCACTTGTACGTTTAGAGATGGAATGGCGAAATCATAGATGGATTGTACCCATCTGCAATTTTAGTGGCTAAAAATACAATTTTGATTTTTTTAGCTATTTTCCACAAAATAATTAGTGTATTTGGTTAAATTTGTAATTTTCTATTATTTATATATTCAAGGGTTAATTAAAGGATTGGCAGGGTTTATGATTGCATTGATGTCGAAGATGATTGAAATTTTAATGATGAAAAGAGTTCGTGTATATTGTATAGCAATATTTAAGATTACCCCATGACAGTTTTATATAAGATGCAATAATGTGTCCATTAATAAGGATCATTCCAAAAGTAACTATGATTATGATTAAGAGATTTGAGCTTAGTAAGTCGCTCAACTTCTCATATTAAAATAAATAATTTATTTGATATTTTCATTTAAGTGAAGAAGTAGCCTGCAAGAAAAGAGGGTTTGCCTCCTGGTAAGCAATCCCCATGTGAAGCAGCTCAAGGGTTTCGACATACGTATCCATGTCCAATAAGGCTGAAGTATGATTGAACTCCATTAGTGTTGATAGTGCCCCTGTCTTAGGATTGTAAACTCGGAACCCTTAACCATCCGGGTAAAGCGAACGTAGTGGCAGATGCCTTGAGCCGTAAGTCATTTTCCCTAATAATATTGATAATGGATCTTCTGTTTCGGCAACGTGTATGAGGATATCTGTGAATTCTCTACTTGTGGTCTTGATCAGGGAGGCCTAACCCGAGGGTGTACAACAGGAGAACTAAAAACTTGAGAGAATTAGAGGCGATATCACCCGATTTGTGCAGGATAGTCGAGGATTGTTGACCAAGATAGAAAAAGTTTTAAAATTTTTTTGAATTTTTATGGATGTTACATTTGTATTTTAAAACCAAAATAAAATGTTGATTTTTTATTGGATACAATTAAAACCTAGAAAACAAATTTTTTTTTTGTTATTGATTACCATTTTAAATCAGTTTTCCTAATAATATTGCATAAAACTCGAAAATATAATGTATCAGAAATTAGAAATTAAAAACTAAAATACTGCAAGTTGGTAATTAAAAATTACGAATATTACATTATTTAGAAAGGACCCGATGTGTATTACATCATGCTCTTCCACATGATTTAATGGAATATATTTTGGAACATTTTATAATATCTAATTTCACTTTGTTATATTGTAATAATCAAATGGTATTGTTCTAAAACTTAAAAAAATGTAAATAAGTTTTTATGGTTTGTATTGGCTAGCCTTAAGCTTTGGTCTCAACTAGCCTTGAGTTTGGCCTCAGCTAGCATTGGTTTCATCTCTACCCTCAAGCGTGGCTCGACTAGCGTTGGCTTTGAGGATGGCCTCGACTATAACCTAGGTCTTGTGCTTGGCCTCATCTAACCTTTCCTTTCGCCTTAGCATTAGCATTGAGCTTAGTTGTAGAGTTATGGTCTACCATTAGACCCCAATATCAAAATGACTTGTGGGTCTTCGAGTAGATTGTACGTAAGACACCAAACTTTAAACGGATTTTCGATCAAATATTTTTGTA